ATTGTGGGATATTTTCTATCAAGGAGTTAATAGAGAACACAAACTACTTCTCGACATTTGTAGTAAAGGGAACTTCATGCGACAATCCGTGAGTGAAGCGAAGATTTTGATAGACAACCTAGCAGCGAGTGATAGCATGATTCAACCAAGCTACGATGAAACCATCAAGGCAATCAACATAGATCCGACAGAACTTAAGGAGATCAAGGTGATGGTTTCCCAAATTCTAAAGAATACTATGAGACCTAAAGCACATGAAGGAGTGACAGCCCCTCAGGAAGACGTTGATCAAGATTTCGTTGGAGATTTTTCAGCATGTGATCTAAGAGAAGTAAGCTACATAGGCTCTCGATACAAAAATCTTGGGACAAGGAGTCACGGCCCCCATTACGGTCCTAAGGAACTTTTTTATACTCATCAAAACGTGCCTCACGAGACCAATATCCAACCGAAGCAACAGTTTGCTAATGGAGTTCAACAAACGCATTCGAGTGATTTACAAGGCGTTGAATCAAGAGAAATTTTGGAGGAAGATTTTGAGCCCTTGATAAATGGGTTTCACTATGAACTCAACAAGTTCAGAAAGGAAATTCATTCTAGGATGGATATATTGGGACATGACATTAACAACAAGATAGAAGAAATTTCATCTCATGTTAAGCAAATTGACCTCCAAATTGCTTATATCGCCGGTACCATTGGGAAACCGGATGGGTTTCTTCCCGGATTGTTTGAGGTGAACCCAAGAAGTGAACACGTGAAGGCCATGTGATGTGTTGCCAAGTTTTACCTCTCAACTAACTACCTACAAGTGCACAGCAATCACAATTAGTATAGCTAAGGGATCGTATCCACAAGGACTTCTTAACCACACTTCAAATTATAATGAATAAAACCAAGTTAGAACAAGATATTTTTGTCGTTTTTGTGATTGAGAATAAAGTACGCAACGAATGTAAATTGTAATGAAAATCAATAAAAAAAAGCGCTAGGACTTAGATAATTCGCAGAGAATCATGCAACAAAAAAGATTGATTGATTTTAGGGATTTAGGAATTATGAACTAACTAGAACACAAAGCACTGATTTAAGGTCATCCCACTGTCGTGACGTAACTAACCATCTACGTTTTAGCACCCTAATAGACTCAACTGTCGCAGGTTATTACAAGGTGAAAACATGCATTAAAGTTCAAGTTTGATAAAGTTCACCGAACTCCTTCACTAACCTTTCAAATTGTTAA